AAATTAGTGGCCAAAAGACCTCATACATGGCAAAATATGGTCAAGAACTTCACAAAGTGAAGCCAAAATATGAGAGCATGGTAGTCAAAAGTCATGATGCATTTCTAGGCACAAACAAGGGAATACAAAGCAAGTATGCTAAACATGCAAAGGGCCGCAAATCCGACCAAAAATAGAGATAACATGTGACCTAAATAGCACCAAAAACATCTGATATGGAGCCAAAAACAATCAAGAATATATGCTACCCTTATGAGCCCAAAACATGCACAAATGAGACACAAAGGGAGAGGGGTGCTATAGCGACCCCGGTCTTTTCACATTTGATTATTGTATCCGGACTTAGGTTCCGTGGATTCTGTCATTGTATAATTGGTGTTTGAGGTGGGTAATCATGTCTTTCTGAAGATATCACCTAGACGGGGTTTGATGAGGTTTGGGAAGAGTGGGAAGTTGTCCCCTCGGTTCATTGGTCCGTTTGAGATCCTTGAGAGGATTGGCGAGACTGCTTATCGTTTAGCTTTGCCGCCGCAGTTGTCCGGAGGGAGAGGGGTGTCCCTCCCCTATACAAGACTTCAAACCATCTTCTTCACCACTGAAAATCCAATGGATTTCAATGGTAAGAAGGCTAATACAACAAAGCAAATAAGGCTTAAAGAAAAAGACACCAAAAGGGGCCAAAAGAGACCTAAGAGAGGGATTTCGACCCCCAATGCCAAAACACCCTTAATGACAGTTCTTAAGCATGAAAATATAAGACTTTTTTTAGTTATACACAAAGCTCAAATCAATATGCAAGATAGGTCAAAAACCAATGCAAGATTGGGGATAATAAAATGAAAGTCTTACCCTTGAAGAACACTTCAAGAACAGTTGGTCCAGCCACACTCTACTGAGCAAAATCAGTCCAAAATCTCAAAAAACAACCCTCAATGCCTCTCAATCTCGGCGCAAGGTGTAATGGTGTGTGTATTAGTGCAAAAGTAAGGTCAAAATGCACTTTTAAGCCAAGAAAACACGCACAAGGGAGGAGAGAGAGGTAGAGAGAGAGTGTGTATAACAGATGTATATGTATATAAGCTCTGGATTTTATGTTCAAAACTCCAACCCTAAACATGGTGGAGGAGAGCTCTTTATATAGGCAAAGGCAAAGGCAAAGGCTTAAGCTTCTCAAAGAAGCTAAGTAAAAAGGGGCAAAGGGTACAAGAGGAGTCAAGGCTTCTTGAGGAAGCTAGGACAGCTGGCCAAGCTTCTTGAGGAAGCTTTGACCAAAAGGGGCAAAACAGCCACTTCATGCACGGGGAGGAGTGTTGGTGCATTCTAGCTGGCACAACTGGCATGCACCAAGTCTTAAGGGTGCAAAAGGGGCACACCGGCCAGCAAAATAGGTCACCGGCCCAAAACAAAGTGCCGGTCGGCAAAATATAGTGCCGATCGGCCATTGGTTTTAAGAAACCACTACCGGTGGCACCAATAAACAGCCGGTGATGTGAGGGGACAGCCGGTGGGGTGTGGGAATGGCCAACAAGCCATTCCCTGCCTTTCAAAGCGAAAACACAAGTGTTTGGTGCAAAACCAGACACCAAAAAGCCGAGTCGAGAGATCTTGAGGCGAGGCGCGCAGCCGAGACCTCCGGGAACTCGGGACGAACACAAGCACAGATGATCACCGAGTGTTCCAACGGTGACATTCAAGTCTTGAGGACGGTCAAAAATGGGGTGTCTACAGATGGCATACTTACATAAAACATCACGAAATTCTTGTGCACCTCCAACAAATCGTTGTCTCGCATGCGTAATACCATTTGCCCAAGGGGCTAACAACAACACCTTCTCCTTATGGTGGCAAAATCTCCGTAGTGCATCAATTTCTTCCTCAACCCCCATACGCAACGACCCAGAGCTATTTGACTGACCAATATCACTTTTCAACTCAACAATAACTTCTACATGTTGTACCCCCATTGATTTAGCAACTAGTAACATGTTCTGAAATTCTTCCTCATTGTCCAAATCACACCTATTAATCCCAGGTAGTTTACAGAACAATGAAATAGAACCAGCAGGCAACTCATCCCATTTTTCACACAAACACTCCACCAAACGAGAATAACACAATGCGCGGGCAACATTTATTACAGTTGTACTGCAACCATATGTACACACCAACATCATAAAGGTATCCATCTCCTGTAAAAACACAAAAACACAACAATGAACAGTAATCCAAATCGATATGAAAATTCACATTGTGCAAAAATTAGAGGACTATGTGTACAGTTCAAGTGCTAAATCCATAATTCACATTAACAAAATGTAAACATTCACATTGATACATATACATATACTTCGAATTATATCACCTACACAAAGCCTCATTAAGCAAATATCAAAGTAAAATGAGAATATCCACATTCTTCACATAATATTAACAAGATGTCAACATTTACATTGACACATATACTTTGAATTATATTACACACACAGAGCCTCATTAAGCAAACATCAATTTAAAATGAGAACATCCACATTCTTCACATATTTCACATTAACAAGATGTAAACATTCACATTAATACATATACTCAGAATTATATCATCCACACAGAGCCTCATTATGGACACATCAAAGTAAAATGAGAACTACACATTCTTTACATAATCTGAAAGAACTCCCCCCTACAGGACTACGTAAAATGTATATAATTGAAAAAACAGAGCATCCGATCCATATCAATCAAAAAACAGAGCATTTGATCCATCATACAAATGAAACCATAAACTGAACATGTATTCATAACCAAAATGATACTAACCTTAATCATGCAATCCTACAATCGTCCAGAAACTCGAAAACAACTGATTTGAACTAGTTATACTTCAGAAAATGTGACAACCGAACACCTTCCAATTCGTCGTCTTCACTCGAAAATCACCGAACTAGACTACAACAGCAAGAATGAAACCCTAGCACATCAAAGCCTTGGAACGAACATGCAAAATAGAAACGTATCTCTCTGAATTAGAATGATGATGAAAAGCGTAAAATAGAAACTGCCAAAACTGAATCAACGAAGAAACATGCAACGTGATATGTATTAACACTGTATATATATATATATAAGGGCATAATAGTCCAGGTAAAAATATTAAATTAGAAAAATGGACCTTATGGAATAAAAAAAAAAGTATATGGAACTAATTAGGTTATAATATTCCTTTGTGGACCTAATGGGTTATAACAACTCTAAAATGGATTTATCAATAAAAATCTCATTTTTTTATAAGTTGTTGTGTTGGTAAAATTAAGTAATTTATAATTTTGATTAGTTATGTTTTATTCTAATCTTTCATTATATTTGAATATAGTTGAACTTTTTGGGATTTTTTTAATTATTTTTTTAAGTGTTATTTTTTTAGTATTTGATTTTTGAGAATTTAGTATTTATCTTTAAGCTATTTTATGTATTATTATTATTTTTTTTTAACTCTTGATAGTGTGAGCATTTGTATTAAATAAATTTCATAATCTGAAATATTTTGAACAATTATTTTATTATTACCAAATTTTTTTTTAGGAATTTTTGTTCAAAATTTGGCATCCAACTCTTAATGTGTTGATAATTGTATGAAATTTCATTGGTAATTTTTTTTTTTGGAAATCTGATATAAAATTTGATTTATTCTTCATTTAATTAAAAATTGGTTTATCTTTAAATTGGAACGTGAGATTTAATTTAATTTCTTGCAATTTTTTATATATGCCATCGAAGGTATAATTTTAAATTTTATTGAACATAATTTTTGCCAATTAAATTTCATAAAATTATTGAATATAATTTTTTTTTATAAACATTGTGACCAAATTATTGAAATACTGCGTTTTATGTAAAAATGAAAGTCCAAATTGAGCCAAATTGTGTTTAATAAAAGCAACCTACAAATAAACATAATTTCTCCAAATAAAAGAACAAAAACTCATCAAAATAATTTCTCCACATTGTCATCTTATTCAACTATTCCAAAATTTCATTCGTTTCCCCGCAAATTCTCAATAACGAAACAAAGATAAAGTTTATGAAATTCCATTTGACATCTTAATGGTTTGTAATAGAATCACCATTGTAATGTGACTATAGGTCCAACAAGATTACCAAAAAAATAAAAGAATAGAACACTTCCAAACTCCCAGTAGCCACAAATTGTTCCATGAAGAAAGAAGTTTTCATTAGTGTTCTGCTACATTTGCAGCAACATAAACATGTTTGAAGTGAAATCTGCAATAGCCAAATAGCTCCTATTTTTATTAGCACCCCAAAATAACATTCCCAACATTAGAAGCATTACAAACCCCAATCACTTACAATCCTTGAGTATGTTCAGACCAATAATAACAACAGCCACTTCTCATATTCAGTATGTTCAGACCAAAAATAATAGTAGCCACTTTTCACATTCATTAACGAGAACCTGAAGCACACATATATTAGGAGTAGAGTGCTAGTGCACACATACACAAATATGTCTAGATATATATTAGGAGTAGAGTGCTAGTATACACATACACAAATATGTCTAGTTATAGTACATAATTATATATATACTTATATTGTCTAGTTATAGTATATAATTATATATATGTATATATATATATATATATATATATGAGTAGACTATCAACACACAGACACAGACACAGACACACACACATATAGATATGTTTGTATATAACATCTAGTGATAGAATTAGATATCTTCTACTTGTCTGACAGTCCACTTGTTTGTCCCAGATGAGCTGCTACTTGTGGTTGGTGGAGTAAGCTTGATGTAATATTCTTTTTCTTTGCAGTTGATGTTCATTGCAGCTAGTATTTCGATATGGGCCTACATATAAAATGCAATTTTATTGTGTTAGTTTACAATATGTTAAGCATGTGGATAATATTTTCATGCTATTCATATTTGTGGGCGCTCTCATTTTGATTTTAAGGATAGTAGAATACTTGCCTTTGTGCTAAGTTGGCTTAAATTTTCTGCGGAATGGCCTATTAGTTTTTTTGCATAGGTGCCCAATATAGGGACTTGTAGAGTGCCACTGTTGTCCGTTATCTCTGTTATGAAGATGCATCTATATGAAATCAAGATATTGGAATCAAATAAGGTGAATAAGAAAAATGGAGCTCATTTTTTAAGAAATTTGAAATCTACAATTCGAATGAAGTAAAGTGAACCCAAAATCAAACTGTTCAAGATTAATCATTTATTGCAAAACCAGTCATTCAAACACACCAATCATAAATAAAACTTGAACAAATTGATTTGTACCTTGGTGTTGTTATGCATGCATCTGCATTGCATTCTAAGCAGTTGAATGTTGTTCTTATGTCGTTGATGGTGTTTCGATTGCATTTGTTGCAAGCAATATACCAAGACCGTTGTGTTAACGGATCCGCACTGATTTTGCCTTTGATCCAAACATTGCCCTATTTGTCATAAAAATAGTTGTAAATTTAATGTGTATGTGTATGTATATGTGTATGAGCATGTGTATATGTATATATATATATCTAATTTTTGGGGGGACACGTAGACTTATTTTCAATATTCGATAATGTGAAATGCATTCTGAATATACCTATTGTGATGGCAAACTATTGATATCAACTATTTCAAAATTTTCAGAAGATGGTGTTATGGAGGAAGGAAGAAGTATTTCTTTGTGAGCACAAATTTTTTCAATCTTCAATCGGCTAGTTTCTTTCCTGCATGTATCAAATCGTGTAGGTATTAGTTTATGTAGTTTCAAATTGGAAACTTGGAAATGTTGTTTTGAATTTACCAGATTTGTAGAGCATGAAGTTCTGGAATGCTGTTGTTGAAAATGAAATTAGTTGTAGGAGTAGTTGACAGGGAGCAGCCTATAAGTAAGACAATTGTATTTTAAAAAGTGAGTTTTATATAATGTTATGCTATTTAAAAGAACCTTATGATGGATTTATAAGTCAAATTGAAATTATAATATAAGGATTATGAACTAATTTCCGATATAATGAGAAATTGAAATGTCAACAGAAATGCGAAAACTTCATGACATTTTGTATTTGAACTAATTTTGTCTTATGTTAGTGTGACAATTGGTAAAATATATTATTAATCACAAACTAAGCAAACAATAATGTACACAAAGTTGTTGAGTAGAGAGGAAATGTTAAGTTACCGTTAAATTTTGTTGCTCTTAGCTTGGTAATGATAACAGTTGGCTGCTGTGTAATATTTGATGCAATTTGCTCGCATTCATTGCTAGTGAATTCATCCTATGCTGATAGTTTGATAGGATGCAAGCTACAAAGAAGAAAAAGAAACAGCATAATACAAATATGTTATGCAATGCTTTTGTTTTTATTTTTGTTTTTTCTTTTCATATATTTAGTGGTGTAATAGTGTTTATTAAGATTTTGTTAATTTTTTTGAATCTGTATTTACTAACTTGTAATGAACTTATGAGTCATCAAGGAGTAGTAGATCTCGAACTTGAGCTGAGCTTCCATCCATGCGCTTTGTGATAGTTCGACTTGGTAGAGCATGTATGACAATTGCAGCTATATCTGTCAAAATTGAGTACGAGGAATTAGTTTGTTTGCTTTTGTGAATATCCAATGAGATGATATCATCTTGCGTAAATCATTTATGCGGACATATTATCTTTTTCCTACCGAAATATATGTTTGTCTCTAAAAATCTTGATGTGCTTGATATTTTGGTGAAATTATATGGTTCCTCAGTTGGTTTCTCAATTGGCTCATCGATCTCCTCAATTGATAATCTTGAATTTCACATGATCTGAATGTTGTTATCAACAATTCTATGTCGAGGTTCAATACGTCTGATGACACCTTTTGAAAAGTAATATGATTTATGCACATGTAATAGCGCATCAAATGTCGCAATGTCATCTCCAAAACAAGTTGCTTGGATTCTGAAGCCCTGAGATTGAATAGTCACATAATTAGTAAGTAAATATTTATACTTCAAATTGTATTTTAGATAATCCAATTTGATTATACTATTAAAAAAAAAATGTACCTTAGTGTCGGCTAGAATGAGTCGTTGAATAGTTGTGCCAGATTTGGGAGTATGTGGTGCTTGCTTTTCTACCACACGAAGTTGAGCTTTCCAAGTTCTTGTACGATCTGTCAACTGGTCTATTGTCATGATGTTGTTCGCCATTTTTTATGGAGAAAGATAATGAATTAGTAATTTCTTTTGAGCCATATTTGTGTGCAATGCAATGTGTATACCTGTAATGTTCTTTTAAGGAAATCTTTGTACACAACATTTCTTGTTTGGTTATGTGAATGAATTCTTTGGTTAAGAGATTTGATTAGAACAGTTACGTTGCTACTACGTTGTGCTCGAGAAAGTGCGACATATAATTGGCCATGTGAAAAAACAGGTTGAGGAAGATATATGCCTAACCCCTTTAATTCATTTCGTTTCTTAAATGAAGAAGTAAAAAAATGGGCAGAAAATAATATTTTGTTTGTAGCTAGCCTAATGTTTGTCCTTGAGATTTGTTAATTGTCATTGCAAAACAAGATCGCACTGGAAATTGTTTCCGTTCGAATGGGAATGGGAAGTTGTCTGTTTTTGCGAGTTGGAGTGGGATTCTAGGAATGAAAACAGGACGGCCTTTGTAATGTCCTGTTGCGATTTCTGCGTGGATGACATTAGATTTTAGAGCTTTGCATATGAGCCGGATACCATTGCACATTCCAGCAGATGGATCTATGTTTCGAAGGAGCATGATTGGACAATGTTCTTTTAAATGTAATTCATGAGGTGGCATCCCATTTGGGGTTAAGGTATGAAGGAATTCTGGTTGACAACTGTGTTGATTGTGTTGTGTTTGCTTGTCAAAGCTAGTATATGTGTGTAGCTCGCCTGGAAATTTATTGATCAAAATTGAATTGATTTCATCGACAAATCATTTTTTGGAGTTAAAATAGCACGTGATGTTAAATATGTAGAGTCGGTAGCATTTTTTTTTGAAATTTGGATAAACTGAATATATTAGATTTTGTGTAAGATTGGTTTCATCTTCAATGGTAGCAAGCATATCTTCAGGTATGGTAATAATTTCCTCATTTGTATTTGTTTCATTGCCATTGCCTACTTGTAGAAGGAATTCGCAAAATTGTGGGTCATGCAAGGCTTGCATATTTTTTGTGAGATGAAGAATATGAAATTTCGGCCACAATACTGATTCCACTAAACTATTATTAATGCATTCTTCATGTGTAGCTCGAGGAGTAACTGGTAAGACTTGGAGAAAATCGCCACCAAAAACTACAACTTTGTCAGCAAAACGATTTTCATTAGAGCATATGTCACGAAGCATACTTTCAAAAGCTTCAATACTTTGTTTTTTAGACATGGATGCTTCATCCCAAATAATCAATTTTGCTTTTCGAATAAGAATGGCTAAAGAGCTTTGTTTGCCGACATTACAACCAGAGTAATTGTCTGCATCTAGGGGGATTTTAAAGAGAGAATGGGCAGTACGGCCACCTGGAAGGTTAGAAGTTGCAATGCCAGTACTTGTTGCTAGCGTTATTAATCCTTTGGATCATAATGTAGTCAGTAGTGCTTTATATAAGAAAGTCTTTCCTGTACCACTAGGGCCATCAATAAAGAAACATCCGCCAATTTTTTCGGTGATATGATGCATAATGATGTTATATGTTATTCGCTGTTCATTGTTTAATAGATTTATGGTGGCAAGATCTTCATCAGATATTGGTATGTTTAGTTCAGCTTCAATATCTTGTTTTTTCTATAGGAATATAAGCTTTGTTATATGCTGGGAGATCATAATCACTAATTTTTTTGCCCATTGATTCAATGAAATTGGCAATGTGGTTAAGAGTGTGGCTTTGTATTTGATCATTTGTTAGATGTGGCATTTGCTTATAATCTTCTGATAAATTGTCATAAAATTTATCCCATAATGTTCTTGGGTTGTTAAGCTCACAGAACACTAATAACGTGGCAAACAAGCGGCGCAAAGCGAATGGCATTTGGAAAGTGCTTGCTTCAGTTAGGCATTCTTCAGTAGCATTATCTTTTTCAAGTAGGCCATATTTTTCAGCGGTTTCTCTAATGGAATTATATGTTATTCCATTAATGGTACAAAAGTTTGTGAAACTCGTAGCTCCTTTAATATGTGTTAGAAGTATTCGTAAAAAATAGCACTCTCCTTCTAAAGGGTTAGCTGCTACAATTCGACCAATTGTTCTGTATTTTTTCCTAGGTTTCCAATGTTTGCTTTGATTGTTCCAAACATAATGTTCAGGAAATTCGCAATATAACAATTGTCGAGCATGTGAGCTTGAACTATTTGTTGCAAAATATTCTGTAAGCATTGTTTTTGAGGCATGTTCTGAATTTAAAATGTTGTATTGGTTTTCATGTTGTCGAAAATTTATTGATTGCATGTTTGGTAAGTGCAATTGGAGGGCTATTACAGCTGGCGAAATATCATTTAATGAAAATTTGAAAATACGCCATGCGGCTTCTGGTGGAGATATCCAACGACCATTTCGAAATGTGGTGATTTCATCAACTAAAGTTTCGCTCTCATTTGCGACAAGTTGAAAAGCAACACGGTCATGACCTTTGTATATATATTTGTAAAGATATTTTACTGCTTTTATTGTTGAGCAGATTTCGACATTAATATGGCAATCGATTTTAGCAAGTAAGTATGGATTATAAGGAACAACCCATCGATTATCTAGAAGAGATCTACGAACATTGACAACTATTCCAGAGTTTCTTCTACGATAAATTGGATAAGAGTTTTCGCCACTTGTGGTCACTTCTGAAAATTCTCTAGGATATTTGTTCTTGTATTCATGTTTTTTGTTCATACATACATTGTGTGGATTTAGAATTCCACATGGGCCATGCATCATATGTTTTACAACTGCATTGTATAAATATGGGTTTATGTTTTTGTCAGGAATTTCCGCGAAGATATATTTGTCATATTCATCAGGATTTAATATCTTCGCATGTCTTTTTAGAATGATTAGAAAGTGGATATGAGGAAGTTCACGCTTTTGATACTCAATGACATATGTGTAAGCAATTACAGGTCCAAAAAGTTCTTTTTCGATAATTTCAACTTTTAGCTCAGCTATTTTGGCATGAAAAATACGAGCAATAAGATCTGGTCTATTTTGAGCTTATTCTATAGGATTTAATTTAGCTTTGATTTCGGGCCAAGAAGGGTTGCATGTCATTGTCAGGAATATATCAGGCTTTCCATATCGTTGAACTAAAGTCATAGCATCTAAATATCTCCACTTCATATCCCTTGGGCCACCAATAAATAATGCTGGAAGAACAACTCGGCGACCTACATTTGATGCCTTCGTTTTGCCTAGTGTTACACTATTTGCAATTCCTTGATAAAGGTTAGCCCGAATAGTATCTTGGTTTGCTCGTATGTAATCTAGTCGAGTACTTTTAATCTTAATGTACATGTCAACAATAAATTGTCGTAATAATCGGCCAAAATGTAGTAAGATAGAAGGATTTGTTGATCTAATTTGCAAGAGGTAACAATAGTACGCGCAACATGAAATTGGTGGCTGAGAAGTCGTCGGTAATTGGGATGCTGCACTCGATAACAAATAATGAACATAAGTTTTATTAGTTAGTAAATTTTGTAGCAGTAGATAATTCTATATTTTGGAGGCATACATTTTGATCTAAATTATTTGTAATTTACCTTCTTTTTGTACACTCCAAAACTCTGATGAGGTTGTTGGCAAAAACATCGAGTCAGAATTCTTTGTAGCAGATTTGTTTGATATGCTATTGTTTTTTTTTTCTCACACCACGATGCCATCCAATTTCACCATAAGGAAATAATAGTGGATATTGGAGAGGATCATAACAACCATAGTAATGCAAAACTCTTTGGCTGCCACCTGATTTCCGATGTACAATAATGTCACGAGTTTTATTACTTGTAGTTTCTTCTTCAACCCAAATAGCTGCAACTTGTGAAGCAGTAGGTACATTGTATATTCTTTGATCTAAGTTGGGGTTCGTGCGAATGACAATGCTTTGTTCTTCATCAATGTCAATATCTCTTAAGCTACGTAAGAATTGAACATAAGGATTTTGTGACAATATATTCATAATTGTTTGAATAATAGTTGGGCGTAGCTGAGGGGAAACTTGGCAACGATGTTGTAATTCATGATCAGTATCGGAGAAATAAAGTTGAAGATATTTTGGAGTTGTATTGGGTGATTCCAAGGAATTGATATAATGATATATTTGTCCTTGAGCTCAAAAAGTATATATGCCTTTTTGTTTTCTTGCTACGTTAGTATCAAGTTTGACACCCATTGAGGTAAAAGCAAAAAGATTATTGTATGTACGAATATTAGTTCGAAAATGTTGGACATCATCAATGGGAGTAGTTAGCAATTCATATAGAGCTTCAAGTGGATGATTAGTAGCAAGTTGTATGAAAAATCTAGAAATCCCCTAGATGTTGATTTGTGATTATATATCAATTTTAAGCAGTATATAACAATCCCAATCAAACAATCAAGACAAATCAACACAACGATTTTACATGAAAAAACCACAATTGGACACCTCCAATTGTGATAAAAAAACCACGGGCAACAGCTACAAAACAATCCACTAAGAAGATATAAAGGAATTACACAGGTATGCTCTCAATTACCTAGCGAATCCACGCTCGAATTGAACCAACCTCTATGTGCCTCTTCTAACCCCATCTTCACCTCGGAATTGTCTTGACGATGAGCCACTCCGGAATCCACTAAAGCTTTAGGCTCGAATTCTTCAGAATCCACCGAAGAACAACTTTCTCTTTTGTGTAGAATAAACAAACAAACCTTTGATGTATGCTTCTTAAACCATGACTTGAATACTCAATGAAAACATCAAAGAAAACTAGCAAAAAATCTCCAGATATAAACCTTAGAATCCAAAAAGAAGATCTGGAGGACTTGTCCCAGTTTTGGGAGAAAACTAACTACTTATAGAAAACCAAAGTAATCCTAGTTTTGGAAGAAAACCAATTCCTTATAGAAATCCAAGAATCTGTGTTCGCGCGGTCCGCTCGAGCGTGGGAATTCCCGCTCGAGCGGAGGCTTCAAAATTGTGTGATTCATATAGGCTTCACGCTCGAGCGGAAGTTTCCACGCTCGAGCGTCGAATCACACCATCCAGTACATTTTCAGGCGAAACAGAGATGCTGTGAGCCAGCAATCCCCGCTCGAGCGTCACTTTCCCCGCTCGAGCGGGACCACCAAAATTGAAAAATCTGGAAAACTTGATCCTCTTACAACCTTGGTTTTGATCCATGGAAATTGACAAAGGCATGATTCGAGTTGGATTCGCATCTAATAAACTCATACCCTCACTGAAATAAAATGTGCGAAAACAAATACAACTGAAAGGAATTTTGTCAAACAGGGTTGCCAAGAATAAAACCTAACAATCTCTCCCTTTGGCAATGCCGTGACGAAACACACCTAACAAATAAAATCCTAAACACCCCAACCCATTACAGCCAACAAAACCCAACTTCTTTCTCAAGGTCTTGATCTGCAAAACAGTTATTAGTGCCACAATCTTCAAAATAACTATTAGTCCCACAAGAGTATATGAAAAAAGCAATAGACATATGACACGATTATCTTGAAACATGAGATGGAAAACATGAATAGATGAAAACTAAGACTCATGAAAAACAACTCTCAAACAACAAAAGCAAGTCATAAACCACACAAGCAATGATATGACGATGTAAATACCAGAAACATGCAAGAAGGAAATAATACGCAAACAGTGCATAACAACATGCAAAACAACTATAGCCAATCTCCCTTACCAAACAAAACAAAATGTTTATGCTAACAAACTCTTGCAATGAAAAACAAATAATAGCTCTATGTTTTTTCATTTTTTGTGTTTAATTTTTGGTGTGTTGGTGGTAAAGTAAGTTTTCTCATGTTTTTTTACAAAAAAATTCTTTTCCACTTTAAAACAGTATCACATCATTGTCGGTCAGAGTTTGGACGACAATGTTGGTTTTTAATTTCCTCTTTCAAACAATGTTCACTATCAAAATGGTCTTGTTCAGGTGAGTAAAAAATTTTATTTTGTGATTAGCTCCATTTCTAATGCCCATGAAGTTGAAGAAGAGCCTTAGACAATGTTAGTTAACAATTAAACAATAACTTATATGGCTTTTTTGTGTCTAAGATTGCATGTCTTTCATTTGATTGTTATTGTTAGTTAACAATAACAATAACTTATTTTGTGGGTTATAGATTTATAGCAATTGAATATGCTTGTGTTTGATAAATTTCTAAGAAGGTAAATTTGTAATCATATATTTTTAACTAAGAAGGTAAATTTCTAATCATAAATTTCTCCTAGTTTGATATTTTGGCATTCTCGAATCATAAATTATTAAAATCCTAAAATCACATTCAAAGTAAAATCTGAAAAATTTCAACTGCTCAAATCAATCTTAAAAAATTCAACTATTCAAATCAAAATCATAGCAATCTTAAAATCACATGTAAATTACATCTAAATTTTAACTATTATGATTTCTAAAGGTCGTTATGATTTTCTTCTTTTCCTAAAAGCATACAAACATCATCTAGGTGAACTAAATCAGGTTTAGATAAATGTTCTTCCTGCTCATAAGTACAAAGTTGCTGGCTGCCAAAGGTTAGTTATTAACTACTAAAAGTTTGTGTTTCTGTCTAAGCAAAATAAGTGGCCAATTTTAATTGGTGGATCTCAATTGATATTGTTTACAATAAGGTTATGTCTTTGATGGAAAACAAATACTAAATAAATAAATAAATAAAATAAAATAAAAGAAAGAAAGTGGAGCAACGTGGGTGAGGTGCAAAAGGTGAAGATTGAGTGTGTAAAAGTGGACATGGTGGGAGCTTGAGGTAATATATTATAATAAACATATATATATATATTAAAAGAAAAGAAAGTTGAGTGGGGTTGGTGTTGGTGATGATAATGTTTTGTGGGTGGTGGAAAAAGTAAAGTGAGAGAGAAAATGCTCTTGATTTGAGTATCCCAAACACCCACAGACAAAAAGTAAACTTCCTCTTGTTTTCAAATTCACTCTGCACATATTCTTTCACCCCCATTGTCGTGCTCAAAAGTTGGGTCCCTTGAATCTCAGAGAGCTCCTCTTCGGACCAATATATAGTAGAATCAGTGTACTCTGGAAGAATATCAATGTAATATCGCCACTGGGAGTCATCTCCTAACTTCTTCTCTCTGATCAAAAACAGAGCAACAGAGACCCAAGGCTTCAAACCACCGCAAACATTCCCAATCACCGAACCCGAGACTGTATCTGGGTTGATCCAGAACTTCTTGGGTACTTCCAAAACGACCTCATTTCGAGCTATGTTTCTTTGAGCAACCAGTCCCAGACCTTCAGGTACAATTCCGGGCTTCACCGGAGACTTGGAAGAGATGATTCCTTCGCTGGAGAGCCACTGCCAGAAGGTTTGGATGGCCAGTGGTGGTGGGTCAGATGCAGGGGAGAGAAGAGAGTGTACAGAGAGAGGGGTTTGGAAACGGAGGGTTTGTTTGTTTCTTGGGAAAGTCGATTGATTTTGGGAATTTTTGAGAGAGGAAAGAACAGCGACTCGAAGGAGTTGGACTGGGTGAGTCAAGGACAGCGACTCGAAGGAGTTGGGCGTGAAGGTGGTGGACTCGAAGAAATTTCAAGGTATGTGTAGAAAATTCTAGCGGACTAGATTGAGGTCCGGCGGACGGGGTGAGTCAAGGACAGCGACTCAAAGGAGTTGGGTTGCCGCCCGCCGGTGAAGCAAAAATATTAGGTTCTAAACCTGCTTTGATACCATGTTAAAATTCAATGTATAAAGAGAATTGTATTATTGATTTATATATTGTTATGTTTACAATGATTCCTATATATAGGAGAGGGTGAGTGTGTAGTAGGTGAGGAGTAGGTGAGGAGTAGGTGGAGAGTAGGTGAAGTAGGTAGTGGTAGTGGTAGGTGTGTAGGTGTAGTAGGTGGAGTAGGTGATGGTAGGTTTTAACACCTACTAAAACATAAGTGGTGCCACAGTAGAATCCATGTCAACAAATAAAGCTTTTATTAAGTGCAATTATTCAATTTTAACTGCCCTAGGTGGTAGTGGTAGGTGTGTAGTAGGTGGTAGTAGGTGGTGGTAGGTGTAGTAGGTGTAGTAGGTGATGGTAGGTTTTAACAGAAAATAAATACTCTAAAGTGTAGAGCTACTGTTTATGGTTTGATTTTAATTTTGATATATTAATTCTGTTTTACAAATGTGGTTAATTATAAATTTGAGGAATTCATTATTTTCATTGGTGAGACCATATTCATGTTTATCTTTGTGTTATAACCAAACGGTTAAGTTTATGTTAGTTTTTTGAGCATACACCATCAAATCGAATAAGTGATCAATAGCATCTTAATTTTCTGGGCATTCTACTCATTAATATTTGATACAACTATATCTCAGAGCCATTTTCCTATCAAGTATGACATTGATGGATTGGATGAGGGTTCAATGACACTGTAGTTTTTGACACAAGATTTTAAACTTCTTTCTTCCTTTCTTTGGGGAAATAAATAAATGTTCATATGAGATTCAAATAGCTCTATGTTTTTTCATTTTTTGTGTTTAATTTTTGGTGTGTTGGTGGTAAAGTAAGTTTTCTCATGTTTTTTTACAAAAAAATTCTTTTCCACTTTAAAACAGTATCACATCATTGTCGGTCAGAGTTTGGACGACAATGTTGGTTTTTAATTTCCTCTTTCAAACAATGTTCACTATCAAAATGGTCTTGTTCAGGTGAGTAAAAAATTTTATTTTGTGATTAGCTCCATTTCTAATGCCCATGAAGTTGAAGAAGAGCCTTAGACAATGTTAGTTAACAATTAAACAATAACTTATATGGCTTTTTTGTGTCTAAGATTGCATGTCTTTCATTTGATTGTTATTGTTAGTTAACAATAACAATAACTTATTTTGTGGGTTATAGATTTATAGCAATTGAATATGCTTGTGTTTGATAAATTTCTAAGAAGGTAAATTTGTAATCATATATTTTTAACTAAGAAGGTAAATTTCTAATCATAAATTTCTCCTAGTTTGATATTTTGGCATTCTCGAATCATAAATTATTAAAATCCTAAAATCACATTCAAAGTAAAATCTGAAAAATTTCAACTGCTCAAATCAATCTTAAAAAATTCAACTATTCAAATCAAAATCATAGAAATCTTAAAATCACATGTAAATTACATCTAAATTTTAACTATTATGATTTCTAAAGGTCGTTATGATTTTCTTCTTTTCCTAAAAGCATACAAACATCATCTAGGTGAACTAAATCAGGTTTAGATAAATGTTCTTCCTGCTCATAAGTACAAAGTTGCTGGCTGCCAAAGGTTAGTTATTAACTACTAAAAGTTTGTGTTTCTGTCTAAGCAAAATAAGTGGCCAATTTTAATTGGTGGATCTCAATTGATATTGTTTACAATAAGGTTATGTCTTTGATGGAAAACAAATACTGTGGAGTGCAGAGCTATTTAGGTGAAGGCAATATGTGCAACCACATCACCTCCAAATTTGTACATATTTTGTCAGAAATATGTTATTGACAAATTAGTAAGATAAAAACATCATGATATGGTTTTAGGCTCAATTTTCTACGCTTAAATATTTGCTGGCCACTTAGACATTGGGATAAGCTGTTTTGATTGTAAAGTTGGATTGATGAATTAACAAAGTTTATGAAAGTGAAAGTGCATGTGAGAAATCAATTTGTTGAGTTTTTTTTTTTCTGCTCTTTTTGTTGCTGGATTGCCCCTTTTTTTTCCCCCTGGTTTGCTGCCCCTCCCCCCCTTTTTTTCTTCTTCCTGGTGTGCCTGTTTTTTCCCCCTAGTTTGCTGGGTTTTTTTTTCCCTGCTCCTTTTTATTTTTTTTATTTTTTTTTATTTCGTCATCATTTACTTATTTCTTAGTTGATTGGCAAGACTCTTTTTAAAGAGAGTTTGCATACTTGTTTTTTTTTTTTTTTTTTCCCGCTCTATTCAACATTATATGTTCTCGAATGAAGTTGTTTTTCAAATGTTTGAATACTTGTTGTTCTTAGGATATCTTTCTTCCAGTTATGCTATCAAATATTTAGTTCTTAAACCATTCACATTTTGGAGAAATGTTCTTCCTGCACATAGGTAAAAAGTTGCTAGCTGCCAAAGGTTAGTTATCAGCTTCTAAACGTTTGTGTTTCTATCTAAGCAAAATCAGTGGCAAATTTTAATTAGTGGATCTCAATTGATATTGTTTCCAATAAGGTTATGTCTTGGATGTAAAACAAATACTGTGGAGTGTAGAGTTATTTAGGTGAAAGCAATATGTGCAACCACATCGCTTCCAAATTTGTACATATTTGGTCACAAATATGTTATTGACAAATTAGTAAGATAATTTCGTTCACATTCATTAAGCCCCAACATCATGATATGGTTTTATGCTCAATTTTCTAGGCTTAAATATTTATTGGCCACGTAGACATTGGGATAAGTTGTTTTGATTGTCAAGTTGGGCTTCCTTTTTCTTTTTTTTTTCTTGGTTTGCCCTCTTTTTTTCCTGCTCTTGTTTTCCTAGTTTGCTGGTTTTTTTTTTTTTTTCTCAACATCAAGGTGGATTCTAAGTGGATTTTTCACCCGCTTTAGATTGTAAGCCCAGAACTTGTTTTTCAAGTTGCTTTTCATCCTTTGCTTATTTCTTTGTTGATTGGCAACACTCTTTTGAAAGAGAGTTTGCATACCTTAATTTTTTTGCTTAGATAGAACACCAACTTTTAGTAGTTGATCATCAACATCAAATATATATATTTTTTATCCATTCATATTTCATTAAATTCAATGAAAAATTCAACTATTCAAATCAAAATCATACCAATCTTAAAATCACATGTAAACTACATCTACATTTTAACTATTACGATTTTTCAAGTTCATTATGATTTTCTTCTTTTCCTAGAAGCATAAAAACTTCATCTAGGTGAGCTACATCAGGTTTGGAGAAATTCAAGCCTCTGAAATTTCTGTCATAATCTTAAACAAAGTTAACAACAATTATACAAATATTCAAATGCTTTCAAAGGCCACAGTGGACTCATCTCATCTAAAGAGGGAATACGAGATCTGGGAAGATTCACAAATGCCCATAATTTTAACACCTAAAAGTTACAAACAACTAACGAATCAAAAAGGAAAAAAAATTAAAAAAAAAAAAAAAACCTCTGTTGGCATCACTAAAAGTTCCACTAACGTTAAAATGAATTTGCCGAATTAGGATATCTTCCTCTCAGTTATGCTATCAAATATTTAGTTCTTAAACCATTCACATTCCACGTTATTCTTTTTTTTTAAGCCATTCACATTCACATTTCACATTATTCCATTCCCTTTATTTTTACACATTCCCAATCAATTGTGTTTGATTTTTTTTTTATTATTATCCATTCACATTTCATTAAATTCAATGAAAAATTCAACTATTCAAATCAAAATCATACCAATCTCAAAATCACATGTAAACTACATCTACATTTTAACTATTATGATTTTTCAAGTTCATTATGATTTTCTTCTTTTCCTAGAAGCATAAAAACTTCATCTAGGTGAGTTATATCAGGTTTGGAGAAATGTTCTTCCTGCACATAAGTAAAAAGTTGCTGGCTGCCAAAGGTTAGTTATCAACTACTAAAAGTTTGCGTTTATATCTACGCAAAATCAGTGGCAAATTTTAATTGGTGGATCTCATTTGATATTGTTTCCAATAAGGTTATGTCTTGGATGGAAAACAAATACTGTGGAGTGTAGAGCTATTTAGGTGAAATATTTATTGGCTAACATCATGATATGGTTTTATGCTCAATTTTCTAGGCTTAAATATTTATTGGCCACTTAGACATTGGGATAAGTTGTTTTAATTGTCAAGTTGGGCTTCCTTTTTCTTTTTTTTTCTTGGTTTGCCCTTTTTTTTTCCTGCTCTTGTTTTCCTGGTTTGCTGGTTTTTTTTTTCCTGCTATTTTTTTTTTCTCAACATCAAGGTGGATTTTAAGTGGATTTTTCAGCCGCTTTAGATTGTAAACCCAGAACTTGTTTTTCAAGTTGCTTTTCATCCTTTGCTTATTTCTTAGTTGATTGGCAACACTCTTTTTAAAGAGAATTTGCATACCTGAATTTTTTTTTTGCTCCAATTAAAGTGTATGTGAGAAATCACTTTTCACTGCCAGTAACTTGTTCTTGCCACTACTATATTCATATACTTCAAACCATGAGTCCTAATCCCTAAAAATTTCAATCACTAATTAATTTATGGGTCACAAAAGAACGCTTGTCATAAACAACTTTCACTGCTAGTAGCTTTGTTAATTTTTTCTTAGGATTTGATCAAACACATGGTGATCAATGTATGGAAGCCAAAACATCTCAATCTCTTAGTCAAACATATTTGCAAACACATGGTGGACCAATCATCTCATAACAAAACAAACACAACATCAATAAAATAGGCACAATGTGTGGAAGCCGAAACATCTCAATCTTTTAGTCAAACATATTTGCAAACACATGGGCCATATCATCTCTCATAACAAAACAAACACAACCTCAATAAAATAAGCCCATGAATGTATATCATAACAAAGACAGAGAGACAGAGAGAGACAAAGAAGATGAGCATACCGGTTACTTTGTTTGCTACATATGCAGATAGCACCAATATCAGCCGCAGAAGGTATATATATAATCTTATACACTTGGCCAACTGATGCAAATCACATGTAAAACAAATAGTGAGTTGCAGATTGGAAAATTAGAACCACATAATTTCTGAATACCAATTTATTACTCAGCATGACTCACCTACTTCATTCTGCATCTCGAGAAAAACACCAGGGCAAGCAGGGGAGGAAAAAACAAACCGAACCGATTCACCAAACAGGGAATGTATGGACATACATATAATGAGCTATTGCCGCACAACCCTTGCGCATGCACCATCATCACTGTTTGAGAAAGACAACAAAGCACACCGTCTCACCTCCTTGGAACTCACAAGTCAAGGGGAACAGTCATTAGAAGAAACTTCCAGTGGCAGATGTTTGTATTTTTGTTCCTATGTTGAAACCTCAACCAGCCAATATATTAGGGCACTTTAGACAATTTCATGCGTTAGATACAAAGACCTGCTTACTTTCATTCATTTATATATAGGTTACTAGCATAACACCCGCGCTATGCATTGATTGTATTTATGATTATCTATATATGTAAATTGTGATTTTTAAATATATATATATATATATTTTTAAATATCTTCTTTTTTTCCTTTTTTATATTATATTAAAGTTTAATATTTTGATAATAATCATATGTGTTGAACTTTTTAAGGAATTAAATGTCTTTTTTTATTATATTATATTAAAGTTTAATATTTTGATAATAATCATATGTGTTTGACTTTTCAAATTTTTTTTTTTATGCTTGTTCTTAATACATTAAAGTGTTATTATGAGGGATAATAATCATATGTGTTGGGACTTTTTAAGGAATTCATATGTGTTGGATTTCAAAGAATTTTTTTTATGCTTGTTCTTAATGCATTAAAGTGCTATTATGAGGGTCAAACTTAGGAGTTGAGAGAAGTTAATAAATGCTAAGATTTTTTTAAAAAAAAATCAAAAAATCAAGAAATTTAGATTGGAAGATTGGAACTCTCGCAAGACTTGGAGTTAAAAATCTCCTTTTACTTAATATATAGTATAGATAGATTATGTGAAATAAGGATTTAATTATTATAATTGTATAATTTTTGCACAGAAATTGAGTAAAATTCGAAAAAAAGTCTAAAACCGCTATAAACTAATTTTGGGCAAGATTTGGAGTCCACAAGAGCCTTGGGCTGATCATCAGAGTTTTATTATTTGTTTACAAACAAACCAAATGAGTAGAGAAAAAATCTATAAAAAAGAAAAAAGAAAGAATATCTATATAATAAAACAGAACAATTTTTGAAAATGTATAAAATATATCAGAGATACAGTTCATTTCAACGGCCGAGATGAATCTAAGTACATATACATTTAGATCAATGGTCTATATGCATTTAGTTCCCGCCCGTTTGACCTCATCTCTCTCTCTCCCCCACGTCCCCAAACACGTTCTCTTCAACTCCCTCTCTCCCACGCTCTGTGCCACATTCTCTCTCACGTTCTCACAAAATAGCCCACTGCTGCTCATCACCACAACCATTGAAGAGGAAGATCGAATTCAGCAAAAACCCAATCCTTCGATACCCACCCTCCCTCTTCGCTACACTGCTTCACTCGATTTATGCCTCTCCCCTTCTCTCTCTGTTTTTGTTTTCGACTAATTTTCCTTACTGCAATTTGGCTTGCTGCAATTCCAAGCCCACTGTCGTCTTCAAGAACAGAGGTAATTTACCCCAATTTCAGGCTTGCTGCAGTTCTTTATTTTACATTCGCTTCAAGTTATACTAGTGGTCACCCGTGCGATACACAAGTTTTTAAAAAGTCAATAATTACTATAAAAAAAATTACTATTTGTTTATATTTTTTAACATTTTTATTTGGTTTGTGTATATAAATCTTACTTCACATCATTAAAAATATTTAATATTTCACATTTTTAAAAATTTTAAAAAACTATCATACATTAGTAAATCATCACATATATAATAGCTAATTTATCTAAGAATTAGCTCAGACAACCAAAAATAGAGTAATAAAGGCATATTATAATTAATCAAAATGACTAATATATTAAATTTAAGTAACACTAATTTTGCTTAATCAATAGTAGATATTACATTAATCATCTCATATAATATAATAAATTAAAATAAAATTAATTTTAATTCCCACTATATTTAGTTAGTAGTTAAAATTTTTTACATGCTATTTGTTTTTTCGTTATATTGATTCATTAAACACAAATAGGTTTGGAATGATTATAAAAAAATTATAAAAAAAATGTTTGAAAATGCATTATATTTGAATTGACAAACATAAAGAATATAAATATTTAAATTATTCAAAAAAAAAATTAACATTTTAAATATGAGATATCTTCCATTTGCTCAAACTTTGAATCTAAATAAATAAATAAAAAATTTAAACAAAGAAGAAATTTGTGGTTTAGTTCTCAAAGGAAATAAGTTACTAAAAATAATTTAATCATGAATTACTTCAACAGGATAATCAACAATAAAAAATCAACTGATGAATACATTTAGGAAGACATCATCGAATCACAACAAGATTAAAATGCAGTTATAAAAATATATTTAACAGACTGTACTCTACAATTCCAAACAAATCAAATATAAAAAAAAAATTAAATATCAAATAATGTACATCAGCCAGTGCTTTATAATTTAAAAGAAATTAAAATTAAAATGCACACTAGTTAGTACTATATCCTATGAAGCACGGATACGGACACAACACACGACATGGATAGGCAAATTTTCAAAAAATAAGGGACACGACACGCTGAGGACACGTTTAATATACATAATTAAATTTATTTATTATGTCATGAAATTTTAAAATTAATAAATACATATCATTAAAATTTAAAAAAAAAAATTTTGTTCTTAAAAACTAATCAGGAAAATATATATATATATATATATATATATTTTCCTGATTAGTTTTTAAGAACAAATTTTTTTTTTTTAAATTTTAATGATATGTATTTATTAATTTTAAAATTTCATGACATAATAAATAAATTTAATTATGTATATTAAACGTGTCCTCAGCGTGTCGTGTCCCTTATTTTTTGAAAATTTGCCTATCCATGTCGTGTGTTGTGTCCGTATCCGTGCTTCATAGGATATAGTACTAACTAGTGTGCATTTTAATTTTAATTTCTTTTAAATTATAAAGCACTGGCTGATGTACATTATTTGATATTTAATTTTTTTTTTATATTTGATTTGTTTGGAATTGTAGAGTACAGTCTGTTAAATATATTTTTATAACTATATTTTAATCTTAATATTATTTATATTGTATCTTTAGGTACGGGCATACGCTAATATATATATAAAATAGAAACAAAAGAATGGAGTAATAGAGGGAGACCGTGCCACTGCGTTTCTCATGTGCAACCTATTGCTCAACAAACAAACACTCATCAATATATCCTCTGTGAACTAAGGATATGGTCTATTAATATGTAAATTAAAGAGATACATTCCACTGTTCCTCAACCTTTTTCTCCATCCTAAAATGGGAATTTTGATAAAAAAAGAAAGTACATTCCTACATGATTTTTAAACAAAAATGTCACAAATACTATGCACCGGTAATAACCAAACATGGACAGTCCTTGAAGCTAATTTTATAGGAAGGTCACTGATTCACGTCATCATGCGAGCTGTTGTTAAACTGTCAGCAACTCCTGAAAGACAAATGCAGGAACAATAAAAATTAAACGTGATCAAGGAAAGAAAAAAGTAATTCTAGTAAGAAATAAAAATTCTTAGCAGCAGATAGCTGGAATTCAAATAAAATGGATCACAGATGTGCCAGATAGCTAATTTAATAGTCCTGTTAACAGAATTGCACATGGCATTCTTAAAATTTCCAAATCATTTCAATGCAAGCTAATATATAGTTCAATTTGTCAGCCTCGGAAAAATACATCTTATTGTATCTCCAAAAAAACATTTGTATGTGTCGGCTTCTCATGAAGAACTTTTACTTTTCTCCTTCATTGGAGATTTGAGTTCCTATGACCTTTGTTCATTTCTTTGTTTTCTGCCTGGGTAAGGGAGACAAGGGCTAAACAATCTGACACAACTTGAACCAATCCTACCCAACTTTAGTTAGACCAAACTTCTTTACCGTTTCCCTGCTTTCTTCTCGAAAGGGGAAAAAATGAGAAGAAATTTACAACTGATGAATAGGTTAAATAGCCATGTTTAAGCAGCGTGGCATGAACCTGAGTGCAATTCAAGAGCACTCATACTTGGCACATCTATAGATTGATAACCTAAGAAGCATGGACAAGAACACATATGCATGTGCGGACACAGGACATGGTGATTTTGAAAAAAATTGGAATATGAACAAAAGGATATGGGAAAAAATATTTTTATTTTCTATGTACACGAAAATAAATTTAAAGCACATAGATATAAGAAGCATATATGTGGGTGTACATAGATACAAATGATTTTCATAGAATGTCTCAAAATGGGATGGGGACCCACCTTTTGTCTCACATTTGTATCCAATTTTGTGAATTTTTTCTATGCACTTGGATTTATATGCGAGTGTTTGGTAAAAAAAATTCTGAGGCATGGTCTTTGAGCGTCTATTACCATATGCTACATTGTTCCACAATAGAGGAGGTCAGGGTTAGACTCCTCTTCCACATTGGGAGAAAATTATGAAAAGTGGGAGGGGAGACTTGAGAAGTGACACGTAGGAGAGAGAATCCATAAGAATTTAGTATTAAGAGTTTGAAGAATTCTCATACTCCAGTACATATATAATCCTTTTGGCTTTTAAGATTTAGATAATTGACAAATGATTAAAAATTAGGAAAAGTGGGAGGGGAGACTTGAGAAGTGACACGTAGGAGAGAGAATCCATAAGAATTTAGTATTAAGAGTTTGAAGAATTCTCATACTCCAGTACATATATAATCCTTTTGGCTTTTAAGATTTAGATAATTGATAAATGATTAAAAATTAGGAAAAGTGGGAGGGGAGACTTGAGAAGTGACACGTAGGAGAGAGAATCCATAAGAATTTAGTATTAAGAGTTTGAAGAATTCTCATACTCCACTACATTTGTTTATATATATAGTATAGATACATTGAGTTTGATTGGTGTGATTTGGGTTTAATATTTTTTACCCTTCTCTCTCTGTTCTTCTCCTTCGTTTCATGAATATATAGTAAGGAGATCGTAATTACAGACTTCACAATTGTATATTAAAGTTTTGTTTATTAATTGTTTGAATTTTGAAGTTTGTTTTTAGAATTTACATGTTTTGTATTGAATTTTAAGTATGTGATTGATTTTTATAATGGGCTATTCAATGAATTTAGTTTGGTTTGGTTGTTTGGATTTTGCACATCAGTTTGGTTTGGTTGTTGCATAAGTAATTTGGCCATGTTTGGGAAAATTCTCTTCTTTTTTTTTTGTGTGTGGTTAATTTCCCTTGTTGCAGTTCAAACCCCACTGTCGTCTTCAACAATAGAGGTATTGTACACTTTCTTGATTGGTGTGATTTGGGTTTGATATTTTTTTCCCTTCTCTCTTTATTCTTCTCCTTTATTGAATACATACATTTTTAGGGTTATTTATTTGATATTTTTTCCCCTTCTCTCTCTGTTCTTCTTCTTCATTTCATTAATACATACATTCATGAATACATTGATATATTTTTAGTTTCATCATTTGGGTTTAAAATTGGGTTTCTTGACCCTTCCAATCTGTGTAATTTGGGGTTTAATTTCATGTTTTTGTTAGAATTTGGTGGCCAATACTGTTTTTATTAGAATTTGGTTAAATCTAACTTCACAATTGTATATTAAAGTTCTATTTATTAATTACAGACTTATAGGTTTAATCTAACTTCACAATTAATTGTTTGAATGATTGTTTATTTATTTGATTTTTCAAAAAGTAAAGCACAAAAATAGTTATGTGAATGTTTTGATATTGAATTTTGAAGTTTGCTTTTAGAATTTACATGTTTTGTATTGAATTTTAAGTATTGATTTTTTGTAATGGGTTATTCAATGAATTTGGTTTGGTTTTGTTTGGTTTGATTTGGTTTGGTTTGGCACATCAGTTTTATAATGGGTTACATTTTTATCCTAACAATAATAATTACATTTTGGATAGTTCATGGAAAATTTTAGGACCATAATGCATGTTTGTTCCATGATGCAAAATTGAGGGTTTGTTCCATGTCTAAAGCATCCTGTTATCCATGTAGAACTAACTACTCATTTAACTGCCAATGCACCACTACAGCTTTGTCCACTAACCTCCATTCATCGAGTCTGGTATCAAGTTTTCTTTGTTCAACTTCATGATTTTGCTGTGAAATTTGGCTCTCCTTTCCTAGATTTCTTTGTTTTAGCCACAGCCACATCATTGTTGTACCGCTGTTCAAAGGTAATTTGATTTCTCTTTCTCTCCCTTTCTCCCTTTGAATAATTGAGTAATTTAGTTCGCATGTTCAAGTATGGTATCAAGTTCGCTGATTTTCTTTGTTCAATTTTATGATTTTCCAATCTATGTAATTTGGAGTTTAATTTCCTGTTTTTATTAAAATTTGGTAGCCAATACTGTTTTTATTAGAATTTGGTGGCTCTACTAATTACAGACTTACCGGTTAAATCTAACTTCACAATTGTATATTAAAGTTCTATTTATTAACTTCGCAATTCCAATTCTAAGCAAACAAGCCATCTATACTATAGATATTCAGTTCTACCATGAACACCATTAAGACAAATGATTTTCATAGAATGTCTCAAAATGGGATGGGGACCCACCTTTTGTCTCACATTTGTTTCCAATTTTGTGAATTTTTTCTATGCACTTGGATTTATATGCGAGTGTTTGGTAAAAAAAATTCTGAGGCATGGTCTTTGAGCGTCTATTACCATATGCTACATTGTTCCACAATAGAGGAGGTCAGGGTTAGACTCCTCTTCCACATTGGGAGATGTTCATTCATATAATTTCCTTCTGATTTATCGAAAAAGTATCATTTTAAGAAACAAAAATTGCTCTTTTGATAACATCCTAACTTCATTTTATGCACATAGTTTTAAATTATTGTCGAAGTGGATGCCTATTTAGAGCAATAGCTCATGTGGCTTGCTTAAGAAACGGAGAAATTGCTACTGATGAGAATTGTCAGAGAGAACTAGCTGATGTTCTAAGAGCTCAAGTAGGTTTTAAATACCATTACCAGCAAAATTTCTCATTTGCTTAGTGTCTTCTTTCAACAGATTGTGATTTGTAGGTTGTGGATGAACTCTTAATGAGGCGGAAAGAGACCGAATGGTGAGCTTTCTGATAAGTGTATAGGTAGTGTTATTGCACATGGTTAAATTAGAATGGAAGTGTTTATTCATTCTCTTCATGGGTTTTAGGTTCATTGAAGGAGATTTTGATGCGTATGTGGAAAGAATTACCTTATCTGTGGGGTGGAGAGCTTGAGTTGCTGATGACAACCTTAAATATATATATATATATATATATATATTTTCCTGATTAGTTTTTAAGAACAAAATTTTTTTTTTTAAATTTTAATGATATGTATTTATTAATTTTAAAATTTCATGACATAATAAATAAATTTAATTATGTATATTAAACGTGTCCTCAGCGTGTCGTGTCCCTTATTTTTTGAAAATTTGCCTATCCATGTCGTGTGTTGTGTCCGTATCCGTGCTTCATAGGATATAGTACTAACTAGTGTGCATTTTAATTTTAATTTCTTTTAAATTATAAAGCACTGGCTGATGTACATTATTTGATATTTAATTTTTTTTTTATATTTGATTTGTTTGGAATTGTAGAGTACAGTCTGTTAAATATATTTTTATAACTATATTTTAATCTTAATATTATTTATATTGTATCTTTAGGTACGGACATACGCTAGTATATATATAAAATAGAAACAAAAGAATGGAGTAATAGAGGGAGACCGTGCCACTGCGTTTCTCATGTGCAACCTATTGCTCAACAAACAAACACTCATCAATATATCCTCTGTGAACTAAGGATATGGTCTATTAATATGTAAATTAAAGAGATACATTCCACTGTTCCTCAACCTTTTTCTCCATCCTAAAATGGGAATTTTGATAAAAAAAGAAAGTACATTCCTACATGATTTTTAAACAAAAATGTCACAAATACTATGCACCGGTAATAACCAAACATGGACAGTCCTTGAAGCTAATTTTATAGGAAGGTCACTGATTCACGTCATCATGCGAGCTGTTGTTAAACTGTCAGCAACTCCTGAAAGACAAATGCAGGAACAATAAAAATTAAACGTGATCAAGGAAAGAAAAAAGTAATTCTAGTAAGAAATAAAAATTCTTAGCAGCAGATAGCTGGAATTCAAATAAAATGGATCACAGATGTGCCAGATAGCTAATTTAATAGTCCTGTTAACAGAATTGCACATGGCATTCTTAAAATTTCCAAATCATTTCAATGCAAGCTAATATATAGTTCAATTTGTCAGCCTCGGAAAAATACATCTTATTGTATCTCCAAAAAAACATTTGTATGTGTCGGCTTCTCATGAAGAACTTTTACTTTTCTCCTTCATTGGAGATTTGAGTTCCTATGACCTTTGTTCATTTCTTTGTTTTCTGCCTGGGTAAGGGAGACAAGGGCTAAACAATCTGACACAACTTGAACCAATCCTACCCAACTTTAGTTAGACCAAACTTCTTTACCGTTTCCCTGCTTTCTTCTCGAAAGGGGAAAAAATGAGAAGAAATTTACAACTGATGAATAGGTTAAATAGCCATGTTTAAGCAGCGTGGCATGAACCTGAGTGCAATTCAAGAGCACTCATACTTGGCACATCTATAGATTGATAACCTAAGAAGCATGGACAAGAACACATATGCATGTGCGGACACAGGACATGGTGATTTTGAAAAAAATTGGAATATGAACAAAAGGATATGGGAAAAAATATTTTTATTTTCTATGTACACGAAAATAAATTTAAAGCACATAGATATAAGAAGCATATATGTGGGTGTACATAGATATTTCACTTTTCTCCCCCTTTGTTTTCAATACTTTACTTTGACCCCAAATTAGCTTTTTAAAATTATAAAAAAACAAACTCACAAAGGTGTCCTAAGGAGTGTCAAAACATAGGACACGCATGCCCATGAAGTGTCCTACAAAAAATATTGACACGCCACGTGATGTGTCCAAAACGTGGACGTGCGTCTCCCTAGCATCCCCCAAAAGGATGAATTTCCTTCTTAGATTTATCATATAGCTTTATCCAAAGTCATAGGGTTTGTTGATGCTGACAATACCTTCTCTTTCTGTTTGTAGATGGAGTCAATTTTCTTCATATATTCATCTATCATTTTCTGCATAAGAACAAAGAGTTCAGAACTCGAGGACAAGAGCACCCAAAAATAAGGATGTGTTAGAATGCAACTCTTGATAAACAAATAAAATTTATAACAGCAAAAAGGTGTCAAGCGCAAAAGCTGCAAAACTATAGGCATATATCATTCAGAATTTTTATATTATTCCAGAACTAAATGTTTTTACTGCAAAATCTTCAGAGACTTTGACTTTCAGCCATATGTTTGCAAGTGCTGAAAAAAAAAAAAAAATACTAGTATTCACCAACAAAAACTTAAATTACTGGTAAAAATAATAATATTTCTGAATTGTGTTTCAAAAGTCCCAACCAACCCCACAGTAGTTGGATGGCAGAAAAGTAATGATCAGAGTTACACACCTGCAAATCACTTGACAAATCTTTTACATTGTCTTCTGAGAGCTTTTTCTCCTGCAAAATATGGTGATGAATCATAAGAGAGGAGCCCTTAAAAATGAAGAGAAAGAGAAATAATGATTGAAAAAATATCTATGGAGATTAAAACCTTCTGGAGTTTTTCATAGGCTTTTATGGCATCTCTTCTTATATTCCTCAATGCTACCTACAAATGATGGATCAGGCAACTCAGTAACAGGTTTTGAAAACAACGACGATAGAGATGAGCAGTACAGATACAGTTGAAAGTAGTCTAGTATTTCCAAATGAAAACAAACATGGCCTATAGACTACATAAATCAATGTGGATATTCCATGTTAGGAGGACAAAAAGGAGTTGTGTCTCCAACATAAGTTTTCCACAACTACATAAATCATTGACAAGGTCAAATATCATCTCTGTTGGGATACTTGAACTTAAATTTAAGTAGGAAATGTACGTCCAAATGTGCCATTTCCCTTTCTGCATGCTCCAAGCATATCCACTCGAAATAGATCACAAAAATCAAGAGAACTATCATGATGGTATTCTTAACAAATCAGCAACGGATAAGCAATCTCAAACCAACTTTCACAAAAATGTACCTTGCCTTCCTCGACTTGTTTAGATACAACTTTTAATAATTCCTACACAAAACAAAGAAGACAAGACTAGTAAGTATCAAAATTATTGGTAGCATGCTTTAGGCAAATACGCTGACTACTTCATGTCTTCACAAAATGCTACATGATCATCATCCAATACCACAATTCAGCAAACTTAGTTTTAGCATTGATTTTGTCACAATTCAGCATTTGATTATAACATGTCTAGCCAGGGCTCTAGTCAGGAAAAAAAAAATCAGGAAACATATAGGCTTGTTTGGTTTGTTTCTCAGAAAAAAATTTCAGAAATTTTATTGAAAAAATGAAAATTAATTTGATAAAAATATAAAAAAGATATTTTAAAAATTATTTCTGACCTCCTAGAAGATAAAATTATATAAAAATGATAAGTATTTTTAATTTTTTTATTTCTTTCACCAAATTAATTTTTATTTTATTAGAAAAAAAATTTAAAAAAGTTTTTGAAAACCAAACCAAACATGATAATTTCTATATTCTGAATAAATATATGAAAACTTCAAAAACACAAACAGGACATGAGCAAAAATTTCATCTATTTATAGTCAAAAGAGAGCCTACTTTGAATAGCCAACTTAGTAACTAGTCATTTCAGTGTTCTAGAAAACAAATAGGTTCACATTAAAGATATGCAGAAATTTCCATGGGCAGAATGCTTGAGGTTTGCCAACCCTGGACATGGTGAAAGGGGGGAACAGAATCCGAGTGCTCAATCCCAAACATATGGAGGAGAATTAAATCTCAACCATGAAAACACGGAAAATGGAAAAGTGGCCCTGAGGATTGCCATAACAGCGCACAATAAGTTGGTGCTTATTGAGATGTCAGTCAACAAACAGTATGGACTCTTTTATCTTTAATGGTATCAAATATTTCATGTAAAATGTATGGGGGTGTGCAGTTTTACACTCAATAGTGAAAACACTTGAAAAAACAAGACCTTTAATTAATAGACAGATAAAAAGAATTGTTTTGATACGTTAAGCAATGCAAGGTTGCTCTTGTTGTCCATATGTAGATAACAACTTTGCTCCCAACATACAGATGAATTGGAAATGAAAATAAAAATACAACTTGTACTCCGACAGGAAAATTCATTCGTACTTTCACCCCCCAAAAAAAAATAACAGAAGAAGAAAAGAGTTCTTACAAAAGCAATTACTCTATCTGCATCAGCATATATATGGTTCAGAAAAAAAATAACCCAAAGAAAACATCCTGAATCAGCTTTATTGTGAAACACTGTTCACAATGCACCAGATCAAGCAAAACAAACTAATAATACCTTCCTTCTTTCAGATGTCAGCTGAGGAAGGGACAATCGGATGACTTCTCCATCATTATTTGGAGTAAAACCAAGATCAGAGCTAACTATTGCCTTCTCTATAGCCTTTAAGCTGAAAAACCATTAAGTGTCAAAAGATACATGGATAATAGAGAGCAGAAAAGAGATGGACCATAATTATCTTATTCTATATCTTTTACAATGTTATAGGCAGGCAGCCCACAGGTCAGAGAAAATTTACTGAATTCAACAGTCATGTTGTTCTCCTAAAAAGAATTTGTATGCATGGAAGTCCTCAATTAAGCTTGTGCATGCCAAATACATTGCAGAGGAACAAACAAGGCATAAAACCCGTTCCCCTCATCCAACTTGTAATTAGCCCCATGAGGTTTCAATTCTTGGCAATTGTACCTGGATTTATCGTAAGGCTGCACCAGTAGAGAACTTGCTTCAGGGGTACTAATTTGCGCTATGCTCTTCAAGCTGACTGGAGTCCCATAGTACTCCACCTAAAAATAAAAATAAAAAGAAATGAAAATGCTGAACCATACACCATAGATGCATATTGATTTTTTGATGGTGCTCTCGACAAAAGTTGCCAGAGTGACCTCATATCAGAAAGAGCACTATGCATATCTCAATATAAGTCAAAACTAATTAAAAAATTCAAACAAAATAGACGGCATAGGAATTACATAAGTCAAAACTAACAAACAAAAAAAATGTCTGCAAATTTTTTGTTGAGTGTGAGTACTTGATTTCCAGTATAATCAAATTAATAGTAACATGAAAAGAGAAAATCTCTCCCTCCTTGGTTGAGTTTGAGCAATGTTTTGACCTCCAAAGGATGATTACAGAAACACGCTGCTAATTTACTAGTGTAAGTTTTATTTGCTAGCCAGTTTACAGCCATATTAACCACTGTAACATATGAATGGTTCAGCCATATTGATTTCTTCCACAGCATGATAACATTTTTCAATGAATAGGCTAATGATTTTCCAATATTTTAGGCAGAATACTAAATAGCACCCACTAAGATATGACTTCACCATCACCTTTTTTAAGAGAGATCGTTTAGGAACTCATACAAAATCACTGACATACATCAAAATTACTCTTTTGTTCAGTAAAGAGAAGAGTCCATCAATTACTTGTTTTAAAACTAGTTTCATGCACACCAGGCCATTTTCTTTAATTAAAAAAATCAAATCACTGCTGATATAGATATACTAAGTCTTATAGTAGTCATCATTAAACATATTTGTCGCTGACTAAAATAGTAAAAGTGAAGTTTTCTAAATGTAGCTTCCTTTCTTATCTCCAAAGTTGCCAAACAATGCTCACAACTTGTTAAGAAGTCTTACTACTCTCATGGGATTCGACATTTTTTAGTATCAACAGCCACTCAATAACAGAACCTTCTCCTAGGAATGTTGGATAAAGAGCTTATATAAGCTTTAAATCACTCAGTTATAGCTATCAAACATAGTGGTACATTAAGTATGGTCCTCCATCACATTTTGCCAGCCACAACATTACTCACAGGATTTCAAATTAAGTATAGCTATCAAACATTTTTTAGTATCAGCAGTCAATAACAGAACCTTCTCCTAGGAATGTTGGATAAAGAGCTTATATAAGCTTTAAATCACTCAGTTATAGCTATCAAAGATAGTGGTACATTAAGTATGATCCTCCACCACATTTTGCCAGCCACAACATTACTCACAGGGTTTCAAATTCCCCAATTAAGCAGAAACTTAATTTTTGACACCCGAATATCACAACCACATAATATTGGTAACCTTTGGCCGTGGCTTGGGTTCTAAATTCTCTTTGATGCAGGAAGAAATTTGTTTAGGTACCTTCACTCTAGTCCAGGAATGGATAAGCTCAAAATCTAGTTCATCATATTTGGAAAAATTAACTTTCTAACCACATGTACAATCCAATCATGATACAACTTTCATCATTATTATATGACACTTTTAAATCCCAGTCAATATTGGTAGGATATGACAAAGGAGCTAACATGACTACATTGGATTATTCAATTGCAAGAGTAAACCATCCTTATTAATTCAAGAAACTTGTGCTATAAATTTGCATACACGGAAGCCACTTCAAACCAACGAAATACATAATTTGGTTGCTTTGTATGTAACATGCTACCCCTCCCACAATGTGTCCCAATGTATCCCCATCCTCTTTTGTGACACCATCAACATCACTGTTGTGCATACTGCCAATAACTGACTTTAACATCTGTGTTTTAATAGCCATTAAAGCATCAAGCTTGCACAGTTAATTATAGATAGTTTTAATTCTTTGATTCTAGATTGGAAGCTTATTTTAAGGAGTGAAACATTTCAACTTGATGGCATCATGGGAAGAAAAGAAAGAAAAGGCCTTTAGTTGAATTACCTTGAAAATTTTCAATAAACAATCATCAGAAAAAACTAAATCACAAATACACTGCACAGCAATTCATACCTCAACCCGATCTAACATGGATGGGTTTGCTCTCCCTGTCCTTATGGAATTGAAATTGGACCGAACAGTTTCAATAGTCTTCTCCATCTTTTCTTTCTAGTGAATTAAGTGACATTGCATATTAGAAGTCTCAAAGAAAAGGAAATCCCAACAATGATTTTAAATTTTTTAGAATGTACCATGTACAATCATTAAAAACTTACAACACTTTTTTCAATCAAATATTTCTCAGCTTCAATTTCTTCAATAGTTGCACACCTAAAAATTCCTGTTCTGAAGAGTAATCAACAAAAACAAGACCCAAGTAAAAACCAACAAGCCAGAGATTTTTTTAAACTTAATTCACAACCTGTGTTACATAGACTCTTCTATTTCCCCCACAATACCCGTGTCCACCGGATATGACATGGATAAGGGTGTGAGATATGTGTCCGACGCTCGCACCCAATTTAGACACTCAGATCCTTTAATTTGTAACAATACATGAAGAAAAAAGAAACTTGCATTTGTTAGTAAAACAATATTTTTAGGCTCCCACGTGAATTAGATATAGAAATTTCATATTTTTTTCTAAATCATATTTAATTTCTAATATATTTCTACATAATTTAAATCATCTCATCCGAGAATATTATATAATATGCAATATATATATGCATATGACGTGTCCCCGTATCCATATCCAATTTTGGATACATACCCCAAGATCCTAAGATTTAAATTTATGAAGGTCTGACGCTTGGATACACACCCGCACCCGACACTCATACCCGAGTCCATGTAACATAGTTCACAACCATAGCAACTACAAAGAACCAAATGCGAGACAATCAACTTGCCTTCTTTCAGACAATTCCTTCACAGAGTGGGGCTTCCCTGCAAATCTTCTTGCACCAGCATAAAGTGTCACGTAATTTGCAGCCGAGCTCCATGAAATGGCATTGCGAAAAGTTGAATTACATTTTGCACAATCAGGACCTCTGGGGTTAGTATCTGCAACAATGTTTGTCAACAACAAAGATTCTCATATGTACATCAGTGGCGTTCGTAATACTAACACACAATCAGTCCAGTAACCATGTTAAAATGAAAGATTTTTCAATTAGCGGCAGAGTCAGTAAACAAACAGCAAATCCTCACTGACCAAGTCCGAGTCACAGTGAAAATCTTCAATAAATAAATAAAATGATGAGATAAAAAGATGTCCCGTAAGGACATCTCCAATCCTTAACTCAAAGTTCAAACCTATATCAAATTTAAATTTGGGTAAAAACCACACAAAACAATATCCCCTTCTCCTTGACCCAAATAAAGTTTTACTCAAATTTTCAACCAAATCAAGGAAACTCAAATGTTTATTCAAAATTTTCAAGGCCATCTTGTAACTCTCAAATATATCTTAGTGAAACTTCTACTTATATATTTATACTTAAATCTGAGTTTGTTCATTATTGGAGTGTTTCATATCAAATAAAGCTTTTACTCAAATTTGAGTAAATTTTTGATATGGCCTAACCATGTACCCATACAGACCTAATTACAGGTTCAAATCACATGCCGCAAACCTCTTGATTCGAAGTATGAACAATTAAACAAAAATTATGAAGAAAGAGAGAGAAAGATTGAGGAGATAGAAGTGTTACGAACCTCGGAGGGAGAGGAGGGTTTTGGGAGGGTTTGGCTTGTTGGTGTTGGTATGGTGGTAGATTGTGCGTACAGGAGTCGCAGGCGAGAACGACATCGCCATTGTTGATGCAGATTTAGGATTGAAGATTATATATATATATATTTGTATGTATATGTTGAAATGATAAGAGAGAAGACAACTCTGGTTAGAAATGGAGCTAAGGGAGGGTGGGGATGGGACTGTGGTCTGAGAGGCTGTCAACCAACTCCAAGACGGAGTTGCTGTGGATAAGATACTACTCTGCCGAAAAACCCCAACATGTCAAAATAATAAAACAACACATATATCACCTCATAATCCCCACTCTCATAGCATCTCCCATGCTTATTTTTATATTGTCATTATTATTGTTATAATTTGATAATAAATAATACTATTTTATTAAATTATAGTAGTAGTGTTTCAATAGTTATTTATTATTTTGACAAATTTTAACTAAATTTGCCTTCAAATTTGTAAGTGTTATTTGAATATAGATTTTTTTGTGATTTTATTTTATTTTATTTTATTTTTTGTCTTTTGTAACTTTTTTTAACTGTTTGTAAAAAAAAAAATTATATATTTATATTATTCTCGACTAAACAAATATAAAAAATGAAAAAAAAATTAAAAATTGGAAAAATAAATAAATAAATAAATTTTATCTTTTTATTGCCTTCATTTGAAAAAATATATTTATTTTCTTATTATACTTTATTGAAAAAATTAAATTATACTAAACTATTTTGCTACATTATACATTGCAAAAATAATATTATATTTTTTTGTAGAAAATACTCAAAAATAAAAACAAATATGAAATTTCATTACAAAATAAAAATATGAGGACCACTTGGTGAAGATTTCATTACATTATCCCGTAATTATTCATTAGGAGGCAGGGGAAATAATAATTTGGGCTGCCAACATTTGAGGACCACTTGGCAAAAATCTCATGTTTTCGCATTGGGTAATACGCTTTCGTTTGAAGGTCTAAATGAAAAATGTCTGTAGTCATTATCATATGTTCTTCCTTTTTCATCTCATGTTCTTGCCTTTTGATCTCAAAGTCATGTTTTTTTCATCTCAAGTTCTTTCATCTCCTGCAATGCTTGAATCCTTTTTTCTTCTCTTTCATCTTTTTTCTTTTCCTACTTAGCAAGGCATTGGTTAAATGTGTCCAATTAAGTGCTTATTTTTTTAACTTCAGCTTGAACGACTTGATTTTTCCGAAATAATTCTTTTGCAGCTTTCCTACCCATAGGCCTTTTACATTTTGCAGAGACACTGCCCTCACCAACAGTTGGATTGTTACCAACACTTGGACTGGTGTCATCTTCAAGAGAAATGCAGTTATCTATAGGGGAATTGGGGGTTGAATTAGGGGAAAACGGTGTATGTATTCTTGACTTCACCGTGTTCGTTAGAGTTACATCTTGCCACTTGATATTGTTTTGCAAAATTGGCCAGCAATGTTCAAAAACAAAATGTTTGCTTTCATCTTGATGGTATAACAATTTTACTTGAAGCACCTATATCAATAAAATATTAAATTAATTAATTAGTTAATTTTTATGTAAGACAAAATAAAAAAACTAACATAATAAATAAAAATGAAATCTTACTATATCAACTTGTGACGCCCCACTTGGATGTAGATTTTCGACTTGTACTAGACATCCACAAAATTTGTTGCAACATTTCATGATTACACCCCATCGAGATGAGATAGACACTTGTGTTCTTGAGTGATCATTCTGCAACAAGCAATAATTTTAAAAAATTCTTCCCAAAAAATGAGTATGTGCTTGCGAATTTCCAACAATTAGGTCTTTAGTAATGTGACACCAAGCTCTACAAATTGCCACATCTTCTTCAGTAATAAATGATTTTCCTTTCTTTGTTTTTGATGAACCTTCCATAGTGATTGCGTGAAAAAACTAAAAATAATATAATTTCGAAAGTTTATTATGAAATCAAATTGAGATGAAGAAAGAAGAAAAGAAAAATGAAATATACAATGGTTACCGTGAAAAAAATTCAGATAAAGAGTTTCTATTTATAAAAATTCAAACAGAGCCTAACGGCTCTATCAAATGCCAAACAGAGCCCAACGACTCTATTTATAAAAAATTAAGTTTATAATCAAGTTGAGTTTCTTTTTTTTTTTTAAAGCCAAACAGAGCCCAACGGCTCTATCAAATGCCATCCCTATCGTCCACGTGTTGGTCTTGAATGGTTGAGATGATTTGTGTAGAATCATCAACATTTTCTTCTTCTCCCTCTCACTGTCTCTCTCATTCCTCCTCCACGTCCCTTTCATGCTCAGATTTGTCTCTTACTTCTCTCTCTCTTTTCGATCGGTGATGAAGAACATTGAATCTTCTCACTCTCTTCAATCGGTGATGAAGAACATTGAATCTTCCCACTCTCTTCTCTAACTCTCAGATTTGTCTCCTTCTCACTCTCCTCTCTCTCTTCGATCGGTGATGAAGAACCTTGAATCTTCTCACTCTCAGATTCGTCTCTCACTTTGTCTCTCACTCTCAGATTCGTCTTTTACTCTCACTCTCTCTCTCTCTCTCTCTTCTCTCTTCTCTCTTCTCTCTCACTCCCTCTCCATCTCTCTCTCCCTCTCATTCTCACTCTGTCTCCATATATTTTCTCTCTCTTCGATTGGCTATCCAGATCTACCCCTCTCTTACTGTCACTCTATCTCTCATCTCTCTGTCTTCGATCGGCGACGGTATATGCTCAAAAAGACGATCGGCCACCGGCGATGGTATACGCTCAAAAAGATGCTCAAAAACCAGGTATTTCTCATTTTCAATGAATTTGTTTTGTGAATTTGTTTTGTGAATCTGTTCTGTGAATCTGAATGTGCTGATTTCGGGTAAAATGGTGAATTCTGAATCTGTTTGATTTTTTTTCTTCTTCTTTGAATCTGTTTGAATTTGATGAATCTGTAATTTTTGAATCTATAATTTTTCTATGAATCTGTTTTTTTACCATTTGATTTCGGGTAAAATGGTAAAATGTTGCATTATTCATGAAATTTTTTTTGGTGAATTCTGAAACATAAAAATAGTGAAACAGTTGTTGGGGGAGAGAGTGAGGGAGGGAGGGAATGAAATAAGGAGTGAGGGAAATAGTTGGTTTTGGCTAAGTTGGCATAAATGACATCTGCATTTCTCAAATTTGGCAGCTGCTATGTTTTGCCATTGGAGCATGAAAATTCAACACATCTGCTATATTATAGCAATGGCAACTCCAATGGTTTAACCATTGGAGATGCTTTCATTCCAGCTATTTATAATTTGGGGTCCACAAATACATGAGTATATTCCACACACATATCAAGGGCCAAGATGAAATTGAGAGTCATCGAACCCCCAAAAAGGGGTTCCAAACATTTCTCATAATAAAAACGATTTGGGTCCTGGTGAATTTTTTTTAAAATTAAAAGTTGATAATTAAAAATTAGAAGTTAAAAGTATTTTTATCTTAATTTTTAAATGTTTATTTTTTTAATTTATTTAAATTATTTTTGTCTAATAAAACTATAAGTAAAAGTTGTACTAAATAGTCTGACACAGACTTTCAAATCAAAATAAATTATAATCACCTCAAAAGTTGTAACAAACAATCACTTTAATTGTCTTGTTAAATTAAAATTTGAGTAAATTGTGTAATTTATTGTGATTTATTACTATTTAATTTAGAAAAAATTTGGAGGGATCATTATATATATTTGTGTAAGAATTTAACGATAGTCATAATTTGTTTAGTAGTTAAAGTCTTTAAGATTTGAAATTCCATGAAGATAAGGACAAATTTTAATTGTAAATGTCAATAATGCCCTGTTTACCAATTGGTATCATCAAATTCTAATGCTTTCTCTCTTCATATATAACTATTTTGAAATGTGTTTTAAAATTTAATAATTTTTGATCTGAAAGTATATATTTTATAAAATTATCTTGTCAAGATTTATCAAACAAGATCCATGATTTATATGAAATTTTGAATTTTTTTTTACTGAGTTTTCTTACTAAAAGTCAAAGAAATTTCATTGACTTCTAAATTGTTTAATTTTCTGAAATTTATTTGAGAGAAAATAAGCAATTCATAATTTTTTTAGGAAAAAATAAGCAATTTTGAAATTTCTCTAACAGAAAATAAGTAATTTTGGAAATTTTTCTGAGCAATTTTGACAGTGAAACTTAAAATCAATTACAATGACATTTAACTAATTTTGGTGAAATTTCTCTGAATCAGTGAAATTTTATTTTATTTTTTAAATTTCATATTCAGATCTTATTTAATAAATTTTAATGAGAGAATTTTAAAAATATACACTTTTCGAAAAACGGATATGCAAATAAAAAGTTGTTAAATTTAAAATTTTTTTAACCACTCTAAGACACAAATTGGTAGAATTGTGGGAAAGTGATTATAGATTATAGCTTAACAGATTATAGTTTACAGTTCTGAGCATAAGCTGGTAACCTGTTTGGTGTAGCTGTGGGATTATAGATTTAAGTAGCAGAATAGTATTTGTTAAATAAGCTGTAAAATAGCTTTTTCTGTATAATTGACTTTTTTGCCCTTATATGATATAAAAATGATAATTTTGTCATTTTCTTTTCAATTTTAATTTAAAAAAATTATTTCATTAATAAAAGTTAATATAATTAGTATTAATTAGTATCGACTAATATAAAATTGATACACTTGATAAAAATGTAATAGAAGTATTATTGTAATAATTTTTTTCCATTATAAATTAATTAGTATCAATTAATACTAAAATTATTAATTAGTATCAATTAATAGCGTAATTAGTTTGAATTAATACTAAAATTATTAATTAGTATCAATTAATATTAATAATTAATTTTTATTAGCATCAAATAATATTAATAATCAACAATTGTTATTAATTAGTATCAATTAATAATTAATTCATTACGAAAATATACAATATTAAATTTTTTTGACATTTCTGATTCTGTTGTTATTAAAAAAAATTATTACAATTAAATATAACAATTGTTATTTTTTTAATTTATTATTCTTTTTCATTACAATTAAATTGTGTAATTTATTTAATGGATATAAATTGCACAATTTATTTCAATATTAATAAATTATTTTTATTATTATTTTGATTAATTTATTTTTTTTGTTTTTATTTCAATTTATTTTGTTTAATTTATTTTGTTCAATATTATTTTTATTATATTGTTTTTAATTATTATTTTTGTTTAATTTATTAGTGTCATTAACACTAAAATTA